AACTGGAGATTAGGAGGAGACATCTTATTTCCGTTTAGCTCTGAATTATACTGCACTTTAGATTCCAGTTCGGTTCTTCCATGCTGATTGTTCCAGTCAGTTTTCTAAAGAAGCAGCTCTTCCTTTGACCATCCAATAATATCCAGAAAGTTCATGGGGTCAGAAAAGGGCTTGCTAAGTAGCATTATCATTCTGTAGCAGACTGGAAAAACCTTTCCCTGTTATCAGAAAGCAGTTTCCTTAATAAGCTATCATAATTATTATACCTCATCACATGGATTCCTTTGTGGGTGGGCTATTATGTTTGGCAAAGAAATGTGGCATTGCACATTTATTTGAAGAAACCTTTCCCTGTCTGGAAGAAACCTGTAATCTCAGCACAGCACTATGGAAAATTGTGTGGAGGCTTTATTGTTTGAAGATTCTGGCACAGGACTTCTTTATTTAGGAGATTCTCATATCTCCTTGTACCATCATTACATGAATGTCTTTGGATGCTCATGACAAATTGGAAGTTCTTCCTGTAACTTTGTCTTAACCACAGGTAGGCTGCTGGAACAATGGTGCATTATACATTTTTTATTTTAAGATTCCTTAGAATTTTAAATAATATAGTGATCCAAGTACATGTTATAAATGTACATGTAGTTAAACCCCAAACTGGCTGGCTATTGTCTTTAATGTCTCACTTGTATATAGGTAGAATAAGTAGAGGCAAAATGTACATGGCCAGTCTGGGAGATAGAAATGGGGCTGGCTATTTGGGCATGTGACCTGTGAGTTCACTCAATGCTTAGAAGGGCCCAGAATGTTATTTGATGCTTTGCTGTTACTATCTTGAAATTCTGCATACTTCCTGAGCAAAAGTACTCATGTTTTCAAGGTGTATTGGGCCTCAGAAAATCTGTAGCATGTCCTCCTTGAGGACTGTCTTAACTGTAAGAAGGTCCCAAGTATTGGGAAAAAAAAAAAAAGAAAAAGATGAAATGGGTACCCAATAATAGCTAATTTGTGCTAAAGGACTATCTTAAACCTGTGTGTGTTTTATGTTCTTGTTTTTAAGATGGATTTCTAGGGGGTGGATTTCTATTTTATGTGGAGAACTTTTTGCCTCCTAAATCCCTGTTTACAAGTCTAGAAAAATTCTTTAGAAGTGGAAAGAAACAGGGGGTGGGTCAGGGGAAATGTGAGAACTCCTTATTATTTTGCGTCACAAGCAGCTTTGGCTGGCAGATCTGGCTCTGTTGCTTAAATTCCACTGTCAGGACTTTATATGGCTGGTTTCCAAAAGGAGCCAGTCCCCGGCAGGTTCTTGTGATTATGGCTATTGCTTAGTTTTTGACGGAACTACCTCTTTCCCTTCTGTGCTCAGAAGTCACCCTATTTGGATCACTCCGCTACAAATTGCAACCCACTCACACTCTTCTCCTCATTCTGCAAATTCCTTCACTTCTTTCCACTTCACTAAAGCTTAGCAAATAGTAGGTGCTCAACAATGATGAATTAGAGAAAATGTGTTGTAATTCACATTTCTAATGGTTAAAAGTAAGCCTTGATGAGAATAAATATGTAACTTTATTCTTATCTTTCTTCTCCTAGTCTGGGTTTGTTCTCTTACAAATTAATTCTAGTTCCTAGAATTCTTCTATACTCCTAACCAGTTGAAGATTTAGGAATTTTCAGTCCAAGTAGTCCCATGTTATAGTAACAATGTTTTCTCTCCTTCTTTCCCCTCCCCCCTTCCTATTTTTCTTACTTTCTTGGTGGTAACATTGGTTTATAGCATTGTAGTTGACTCAGAGATCTAGGTGTATAGCAGTAACAGCATTTTCTGATGCTATGATAAAAGTGGAGATAAGACCATGTGTACTTGTGGAGGAAGATGTCAAGAGCACAAGAATATTATTAACCTTAAGGGGATTCTTCTATCTGGGCCTTCTCACCCTTCTGTAGAGGCAGCCATATTTACTTCCAGAAACTCTGCAGGGATCATTCTGTCCCTTAGCTCACTCTTTCTCAGAATGCTGGAGACATTGTTATTGTCAGTTTCAATATTTAGAGCAAATTTCAAACTACTAGTTTACTTCAGTGACTTTCCTTTTGTATAAAAATCAGCTTTTAGTTAAAATACATACTAAATTGAAAAGATCCTCGGAGACCTTTTAAACAATGTAATTTTTAATCAGCCCTAAGCAGTCCTGTTTCAAGTTATAGCAGAAAATCGAACTCTTGGCTAAGAGGTACTTTGATCATTAATTCAGTCAGGGGAGAGTTAGTATATGAGTGAAACAACCAAGGAAGAACATGGAATAAACAGTCAAGATAGGATCCCTACTTGTACCCTCCAAACTGAATTGCCTTCTTTTAAACCCTCTCTAGTGCAAACCCCCATAATTCTATTGTTATTCTCTCTAAGTCTCTGAGAGGACTTCAGACTAATCTAAAATTCAATATACGGATATGAGATATGAAAGACACCATTATATTACTTTAGTTTTCAATTTGTGAGGCCGACTGCCACATTCTATCTATTTATTCTGTTTAATTTTTTTTTTTTTTTGGAGGGACAAGAAGACTAGGACTTAGCTTGTCAAGTTAGAGGCCTATCTACTCGCTTTTTCAATTCTGTTCTGTGGCTATAGTGACTTTTTGGACACTTGAAACCAGGTGGAATAAATATAACAGTGGAGCCTTTTATTTTGTAGCTGGGAATTGAAGGAACAAATGTTAATATATAAATCAAATAAGACTTAGAATGTAAAAAGCTCCCCTTTCCTCTCCCATCCCCCAAAGTGAAGTTTCTGGATTGCTGTATTTGGTTAAATGGGAAATTAATTGTCTTATCTTTTTTCCCCCCTGAAGCTTAAAATTTTTTTTTCAGTGTAAGGGAATAGGAGGAAAATAGTTTAAATGAGATAATTGTCACTGAGTTTTAGTCGTGGTCAGAGATTTTATAAAACTTCAGTCCTTCAAAAAACGAAGTCATTCCTGCAAATTTGCTATATACTGTGTTTTCATTTTCCCAGAGGGAAGGGAGTAGCTGAGGTGGCTTCCTGGGTAAGGCAAGGGTGGAGAAAGCTGGCATTTCCCAGGGTGTCCAGGAGAGAGATGAGTGGATGTGTTGTTTCCATGGATACAACACTGCTCCATTTTCCCTCTGGACTATGACAGATGTGACTGGACTTAGCTGGTGAGGTGTAAGCTGGTGGAAAGTTGTCCCCATCAACTTTTTTCTTTCTGTTAACTTTTATATAAATATATTACTGCCAAAATGGATTTGCTAATAGTGGTTTTACTTTGAAGAATTACTTAATTCTTTCTAATGGGACATGTTCAGGCTAGTGAAATAATCTTATAAAAAAAACAATACTCTAGTGTGTTCAGGAACCTCACTGCTCCCTTTTCATCTTCTAAGGCATTCTTCTTGTTCTTTCTCTACTTGCCTATGACACCCTAAACAGGTTTAGTTTTCCTGGATAACTCTGCTATCACTTCTTAGGAGTATGTGCTGGCCCAGGACAAGTGACAAGGAACAGTAGGTTATAGAGCTTAAGTGAGAACCGGCTCTCATTCCACAAAGAATATGAGGAGCAAGGGGCCGCTTGTGTATTTCATGGGAGACAGGATTTAACTGAGTTAATGAGAAGGTAGCAGGGTCAGAAAAAGTGGAACTTGTGCCCACATAGTTCACACAGTCTGATAAAATAAACCTTTAGACAACAGCTGGACTACAAAAGGCCCACGCCAAAAACAACAGCGAGGACAGAGTTCCTGTCCCTTAAAGCAGGACAGCTGAAACCCTGTCTCAGTTTAACAACAAAAAAGAACAAAGCAAAACAAACAAGAACCCAAACCGAAGTTTTCCGAAGAAAGGAAATGTACTGAGTAGAGGTTAAATATTTCAGAAGCATTGTCTTTAACTGACTGAGAAAATATATTTCAACTTACTGAACTTTTTCTGCAAGGAACTGTGCACTATTGTATCCAATAATAAAAATCCTAAATTGGGGTTAGTGTTATTTATGCTATGGGGAATTTGAAGAGCAAAGAAAAATATCCTACATTTTGTATCAGTTTTTAAAAAGTACAGTTCATTTTAGTGTCAGAAAATACTGAGATATTGGAAGCTTGATTTCCAAAGTTTCTTTCTTGAAAAAAAAATTGTCATAAACTGGAGCTAAAGATAAATGATTTCTAGGTTATTGCCAAATAGAGGATTTTACAAAATTAAAACAAAAACAAAAACAAAACCCTCGATCATTTAAGGAAATTAATTCATTTCTTGCACTGACTCTTTCCCAAAACAACATAAAAATGCACTGTTTTCTTTCCCGGTATTAATGAAATATTTTCCAAATCCTTTGCATTGCATGCATTACATTCCTCTATCAGGATCTTATTCAGTTTGTGACTCTGTTGGAAATGGATACCATAGAATTAATCTTATATGTGCTTTTACCTACTTTTCTCTTATTTAGTGCCTAGTTTAAGTGCAACAACATTCATTTTCATTTTATTAGGTTTTCTGGAACATATCACCACACTATAAATAAAAAGTTTGAGGTCATTTGCATTATATTTTTCTCCCCCTTTAAAAAGATTTTAACTTTTATGTGTTTTAATTTTTAAAAAGTTTCCACATTGGGGATCTGTTTTCTGATCAGTTGTCTGTCAAACATTCATTTAAGGAAAAACTTCATTTTCGAGATATATAGAAGGTGAGTGACAGCCAACCAAATTAAAAGCTTCTCATTGCTGTTTCAAAACGTAGGCATCGTTTTTGTGAACATTTGCTCTGTACTCAGCTCCAAAGCCCGAGAGTTTACAGAGGGTCACAAGGGTTAAGAGAGCCACAGAGACATGTCCATAAGGATGACAGTTCTGTTTTTCCATTTGCGGGGGCTCATCGGCAGAGGCAGCCGGCACAGAGCCTGCCTTTCCCCTCAGCAAACCACCCCCCTCCCCCCACAAACCCCACTTAGAACTGTGTGCAGACTTACTGTGATGGCCTGAAGTCTTTCCTTCACCAGCTCGGCTTCTTCCATTCTAGAAGTCAAGGACAGGCAGACAGTGTAAGAAGTCCAAAGCTATCATAAAAGCCCGAGCCTCCTTGGGGAGAGAGCGGGGGTGACAGCGAACAGGCAGATAGAGAAAGCTGCTCTTGGCACTAGTGAGAAATGCAGAAACCCCCGACTCGACTCCACTTGCCAGGAGCGGAGCGTCTCTGAGCAGATGTACAGATCAGGCCAGACAGACACATGTAATGAGGGTGTGCTGGGGAGGCAGACACTGAGGCTGCTGGCACGAGTTGACTGACAAGTTTGAACGGCAGCGGCACAAACGCTTTTCCTTCAGGAGCTGCCAGCTCTTTGTTGTAATGTGCACAGTTAGCAAGGCACATTTTCTTATTAACTGTTCCTTCCCCAATACCTTCTTTTCCAGGAGAGGCACAGGGAGCCACGTGCTCAGTGGCGAACCAGACTCGGCTCCAGCACACACACACATCCCTGTGCGGGTCTTTGTGAATGTGTGTGCAAAGTTTACCTATACTCTGCTCCAGAGTTTACCAACACAGCCTTACCTTGACCAGATGCGGTCCCTTGCTTGCCTTTTCCCCTCTGATTGGCTTTAAATAATAATCATGATAAAAATTCTACAGTTACTTTAAAAGCTTAATATGGAAATAAGTTTGTGAATCAGACTCCTCTCCCTCCCCGCCCCCTCCCACTCTCCCCTGCCTGTTACAGACTTTGGAATCTTTAGGTCATGGAGAAATCAAAGGTGTTAATAAGACCCTATTAAGCCGCTGGCCCACCTGCAGTGTTCAGTGCGGGTTTTAGTGTCAAGTACCACGCCCTGTTATTTCTTGTCCAGGATTTCTATGGAATGGAGTTCTTTCTTGGACCTTGTTCAGAAATGACACCCTCGGTTTTCAGGAAGGTGCCCATTTTGACCTCCCCAGTTATGCAAGAGAAATGAGTGAGCCTTTGAAAGTGTGATGAGACATTCTGTAACTCACACATCTGACACTCCGTGGCTCTTCCCTTATTATTATTATTATTTTTTAAGATTTATTTATTTATTCATACAGAACTGGGGTACAGGCCGGAGATGCGGAAGGTGAGAGGATTCACCAGGGACAGAGTGGGGAGCAGAACAGGCAGATCAACGAAGTACACTGCTGAGGGGAGCAGCGGTAGGGTCAGGAGAGGTCTGCCGCGCCATGTGGATCTCCTCCAGGGCAGGTGGGGATCGAACTTAACCCGCTGTGCCACCAGGGAGGGCCCTCTTCCCTTATTCTTTAGAAAAAGGAAGGTAAGGTCATTGATCCTCTGAGGTCAAAGCAGAGGCTGGAAAACCCAAGTACTGGGCTCTGTTTTATTTCTTCTACTACTTCTTTAATTAAATTTTGCTATAGTAAACCCTAATTACCACTACCTCACTTTTATGCCCTTGTTGCTCTCAAGCATTTTCCTGTCAATATTCAGAGGTTAAAAGAGCAACTCAAACACTGAACATATGGTTAAGTTTCTTTTGCATCGCTGACATCAGTAATAATGACAGCTAATATTTGCTGAGAACCTTCTCTAGGCTTTACATCCTATTTATTTATAATGTGCTGATAGATGCAATTATTTTCCATGTTGACCCAGTTTTGTTGAGATATAGTTGATATACATCCCATTGTAAGCTTAAGGTGTATAACATAATTTGATATTCATATCTTGTGAAATAATTGCCATAGTCAGTTTCTTCAATATTCATCACATCATATACATAATATCCCTATTTTTAATTTTTATTTTTTTGGATTTATATATTGTTTTACCTCATTGTTGTTTTCAGGTGTGATCCCCTAGAATTCTCACTACCAAGTCACCCATGAAACGTCATCATGGTCTCCTGTGCTCTTTCCTTCCCTGTTTAGAATATCCCTATTTTTAAAATGAGAAAACTGACGTTCAGAGAATTAATTTTCCATATAGCTAACAAGGAGCAATGCCAAGAGTGGAACGTGGGCCCTGACTTTATTCTGACTTCATTCAGCAAGCACTGCCCAAGGAAACAGGGCAAATTGAGACACAGGCTGATGGCTAACTTAGTCTTTATGAGAACAAAGTGGACTCCCAGATTCCTTTCCATCTTCTTCCGAGAATACGTGCAGCTGTATGCAAACTCCTCACGTAGAACCCTGTGGAAATCCCCTATGGATAAATTTAGTGACCCTACTCAGAAAAGAGCTCTCCATATTGTCACTTGGAGCTATCCAATCTTAAAAGCCTAAGAGGCAGCCCCACCAGTTTCAAGACTAGAGAACAGAACAACGGGTCACATGTGCACCAAGTTTGGATGGTTGGATTTTTAAGCTTAAAAAAAAAAATCTATTAGGCCCTCCCTGGTGGCACAATGGGTTGGTTAAAGCACTCTGAAGCTCTCTGAAGCCACTGCAGCATGAGTTCGATCCCTGGCCAGGGGAGTGACCCACATGGCACAGCAGACCTCTTCTGACCTGCCCGCTAATATCCTCAGTAATGTCCTTTGTACTTAATATCCTCAGTAATGTACTTTAACCTGATTGTTTTGCTCCCTGCTCTGTCTCTGGTGAATCCTCTCACCCACCATACCTTTGGGCCTATACCCCAGTTCTGTAAGCATAAATAAATAAATCTTAAAAAAAAAAAAAAAAACCTGATTATGGGCCCTCCCTGGTGGCGCAGTGGGTTAAAGCACAGCACTAAGAAGCTAAAGCCACTGCAGCATGAGTTCAATTCCCGCCTGCCCCGGAGGTGACCATGTGGCGTGGCAGACCTCTTCTGACCCACCCGCTGCTCCCTTCAGCAGTGTACTTCATAAATATGCCTGTTCTGCTCCCCCGCTCTGTCTCTGGTGAATCCTCTCACCGCCCAGCACCTCTGGCCTGTACCCTAGTTCTGTATGTATAAATAAATAAATCTTAAAAAAAAAAAACAAAAAACCTGATTATCCCTTAAAAAAAAAAATCAAACCTTAAAACTTTTGATTTTGTTTATCTGCAGATCTGAGCAGAAATTAAAGACAACAGAGCAGTAGTGATAAATATCTCAATCAGAATCGCATATTTGCTGCCCAGAACAGATGGGCAGTCATCCAATTATTAGACTGGATCCTTTCCTAAAAACAATTTACCTCTCAAATTTCATTTCTGCAATGGGAAAATGTAAGGGCTTTCCAGTATAAGAGAGGACTAGATAAAATAGAAAGATCAGGAGTTTAGGAGGAAACAGAGTCATGACAAATGGTTGGTATCATCATGTTTTTTTTTTTTTTCCATTTATTTAGCTGATCATGCTAGTAATTGCTAACATTTTAAGCCTTTGCTATTCATTTATTCTGCACCTGTATATTAAGCACCTGTTATGTGTTGGCACTTTTCTAGGTGTATGAGATACATAGGTGAACAAAATTCTGGCTCTCCTGGCACTTATAATATAGGAGACAATAAAAGATACAAGCAGGTGGTGGGAATGCAAACTAGTACAACCACTATGGAAACTGTTTGGAGGTTCCTCAAATTGCTAAACATGGAGCTTCCCTACGACCCAGCAATCCCACTCCTAGGTATCTACCCAAAAGACACAAAAACACTGATTGAAAAAGATACTTG